ATTCACAAAGTAACATGTTGTTTACACCCACATCTGTTTCCATAGGTCTTGTCCTCTTCTGCTGTGGTCCAAAACATCAGAGCACATACAACGCAGAGCATCAACTAATAGCAAGAATATTTTGCTTTCTTTTCAATTTCTTAGTGACTTATAGATATAACTAAATAGAAATTTCCCCTAACAAGAATATCAGCTGAAAAATAATTCAGATAATCAAGTCAAAGAAGCTCACATATTAGTCGTGTATTCTAATTTGTTGCTTATTTTTCTTCCCTTCCATAGCCATTATCTTTTGTCTTATGTAACAAGCTATTATTATTGGGCTAATTTCACTCAAAAGTCTATGACTCAGTTATTAATAATAGCAGAGATAAAGGAGCACTTTATCTGCTGTCTTTCAGATTGGTTTTAAGTCATACTGTTCCCAATGAGTCAGTAGCTCTTTGCCAAGAGCTTTTGAAATCCCCCACTTCTGCCATTTAAACTCATGCCTTTTTCACAACAGTAGTAAGCAGCACATTCAAACCCTCAGTTTGTTCACCCACCCAGGACAGTACCATGTCCTGCCTGCTCACACATCAATTTACATTTACTTTGTTATTCTGCCAATCTTTCTTTATTCTCTCAGTCATCCTTCCTTTCCACAATTCAAATGAGTCATGGGATCCTGCAATCTGTTGTAATATAAGAAGTTTTCCTACATACCTGTTGAAAATGGTTTCCTGAGAGCCCCACTACAGGCAGTGACTTCAAGTACTTTCTAAATAGGGCACTGAGAATTATTTCTGTAGATGTGATTTTATTTAGCAGCTGAAGTACCCCAGTTTCATAACGCATCCTCCAAAAAAATTTTTGTCTTTTAGCTTCTCCCTAAATCAGTAAAATGTGGCCTATCCTCTTTCGAGACTGCTCTTCAACTGTGTTGTCTCTCAGACTGTTCAACTCTTGTCTTTGATCTGGATGAGAGGGAGTTCATTTTCACCAAAGCAGCCCTTACAGAGCTGTGGTGAGCTCTGGTGGCCAGAAAGGTGTTGACAACTCACCACTGCTGTGGCCACTGCTGACCAGTGCTCACTCAGCACCAGCCTCTCTCTCCAACATGCCAACCCCACTAGTAGGCTGGGGGTGGGCAAGATTTTGTGTGGGGACAGAGCCACGTCAGCTGACTCAAATTGGCCAAAAGGATATTTCATACCATGTGATGTCTGGTCAGCAATAAAAGCTCAGGGAAAGGAGAAGGAGGTGGAGGGGAAGGTGTTTGTTCTTATTATGTTCCTCTTCTAGAGCAATCATATGTACAGAAGCTCTCCTTCCCAGGAAACAGTTGCCCATTACCTGCTGACGGGAGGTAGAGGATAAGTTTTTTGTTTTCCTCTGCTTCCACGTGCAGACCTTGTTTTTACTTTATTAAACTGCCTTTTTCTTGACCCTTGAGCTTTCGTCCATCTTATTTTCTTCCAGTCCTGCAGAGGAAGAGAGTGACAGAGTGGCTTGGTGGGCACCTGGTTTCCAACTGTTGTTCGTGAAAATCGGATTTGTTCCCCGGTGTGCAACAAGCCAATAATTACACATTTGAGAGAGAAGCTGATTGTTTATTTCAGAGTTGTGCAAGCCTGGGTGCTCACTGATATTCCACAAATCAAGCACACCAACTATAAGAACTTTTTACTAATTTATACATTTTAGCAAACAAAGGAGTTACTGTACATCGGCTATAAATTACATAGTTCTCTTATTAATTAGTATTCTATCATCTGATGATTAATTATTCTCTCCCTCCTCATGCTAAGTAGTCTGCATGCTCAGTCTCTTCTTTAGAGTTGATGGGTTTCTTGGGTCGGTGGTCCCTGAGTCAGTGGTTGCAGATGCCCCGGCTGGAATTACCTTTTACCCAGATGGAGCTGATTTCAGCACAGTTGCTGAGCTGTCTTTATTAGTTTCTTCCTTATTTTGGGAGTTCTGCCAAATGTCCTTGTGGTCCATAAATTCTGCATTCTTTGTGTCCACTATCAGTGGACATCCCTCTTCCCAAGCTTTATTAATTTCCATTTAGGTCTGAGATCACTGAAGCATGTCCAGCCCTAAATCTTACAAGGCAATTTTACTGACAAGCCATTTGCTTTTCTAACACATGGACATCACTTAGAGCTTGTTAGCTGCTGTTTCATGGATTAAATCTCCCTTCTGGTTGATTAGGCTTGAAACTACACAAAAATCAAACATCAAGAAACACCCCTTCTTACGAATTTTTTTACATGTTCCACATTTTGTAACACAACCAGGGTCAACCCACCACAAACTCCTAATTTTGCACAAATCCCAATGACAGGCCTTCTGTGAACATCCCTACAGGGGTCCACAATACGTCTGTACATTGTTTCCTTTTAGACCTCTTTTTTCTCCTCATGGCAGAACAATCAACATGCAAACCTTTCATCGATGCAGGGTTTTATAGTGCTAACAGTTTTTCACAGTTTGCTGAAATTTTTTTAACTTGAATGGTTTTGGTAATGCTATATTATTATATTACTATAATAGTAACAAGATAAATCAGTCACCACGGCATAATCCTGCCCCTTTCTTTACCTAAAGACTAACATTAAATGCTTAGAAAAAGATGATCTTGTTAAATAAATCTACTTTTGTTAAAAAAGAAAACAGGAAAAAAAGACATTTTTAGAAGCACAGTGTTCAGAAATCTGTCAAACAATTTGTGCTATCCATGGGGGTTTTTTTAGGTTCCTAGTTCATTCAATTCGAGCAGATTAAATCTAGAGATAATCATAGTCTTCAGGTGTTTTCCTTCTGCTTTCTACAGTTGTTTGAGAATTCTCTGAAATTGTTGAAATTTAAACCTGTCTTACAAATTGTCCCCTGGACAGTTGGGGAAGGTTTGGCAAAGCCCTCTTTTTAAGCAGGGAGGGGTGCTGAAGGTTGAGCTCTTATAGGGTGGAGGGGCAACGAGAGCACAGCAGCATTAGTGTGAATTCTTAACAAAAAAATTAGTTCAAAACTAGGATTTGGACCACTACAACTTGTCACTGTGTGAGGAAGCTCGGTGGCTGTAACTTAGTCTGGCTCAGTGGAAGAATGAGGTTGGGATTCAGACAATCTGGATTCTGGTTTTGTATTTTCACTGCTCAAGTATCTTCAGTTGCTTCTGATTCTGTCTATCCTCTCTTCCTGTTAGGATACGCATAAACAGCAAGCTGTCTGAAGACCATCCTAATGATGCTGACATCTCAAGAATCACAAGTAGTTAACAATTTGCCCAGAGAGTTACAGGGAATGAGAAGGAGGTTGTGAAACAGGATCCTGTCCAATTGTTACAAAATATAGAATATGAAAAAATTTTCTTTCTAAAAATTAACAGCACTTCTGCTGTCTACACTAAAGACTTTTTCTTTCAAAGATATACTGGTGGCTACAGCATGGTATAGTTTCAGAAGAGAGATACCCTGCACAGTAATACTCTTGTTAATCATGTTCGACTTACTTCAGCAGCTAAAAAACAGCAGCAAAGGATGTTGATCCAAAGAACTGTGATTTTTTTACCTTACAGCTGTCTCTTAAATCTTGCTCAAAGGCAAATAGTGGAAATTAGATAGACTTTTCTCCATAGATGAAATTTCAGCTGCTGAAAACTCTTTCTGTCACATAAGCATTTGAAGGATGCTAAAGAACATATGCAGTGCAGGCAGCTCCGTGTGCAGCTCCAGTGGGAGCTGCAGGTTGAGCCCTGTGAGATGGTGGGATCCTGAGGCAAGAGGCCATGAAATGCCAACCCTTTGCACAACGAAGCCCACAGGGACCTGTGACCCAGCCAGGTGACCAGACACTGAGACACAGAAGGAGCCAATGACCCCCAGACTTATGTGTGTTTAGACTGTGAGGGTATAAAAGCCCAGGGATTGCTTTGTTCGGGGTCCCTCATTAGAGGCTCCAGCTCAGGCTCTTACTTTGTTATTTAGTTGTTGCACTATGATTAAATTATTTAAAAAATCTGGATGTCTGAGACTCTGCTATGGGAAACCTGGACTTGAGCCGGTTAGGAAACCTGGTCTGGTTTACGAATGTGGGGTGTGTAGCTGTGAAGGGTCTTTAGTCCCAGCTCAGGTGCTGCAAGAATGACTGCCAGAGCGGCTCTTCAACGACCAGACAGGGAAGTTTCCCTAACATGGAGATTACCTGTTACAATCCAAGGGTTGTTTTCCTTGTGCCTTGCGTTGGATGAGACTCAGACACTTGGGCAGTGATGTCTCAGGATGCACCTCTGTGTTTGATTGAGACCCAGAGAATTCTCCCATTAAAGAACTATTAGGAAGTTCTTTTCTTTCTCTTTGTAGATGCGACCATGGCAGAACTACTTGCTTCAGTAGCACAGCTCTCCTGTTCAGGTGACTGACTGCCAAATGATTCACACTGCAGCAGAGACAACATAAAAGTTACTCCTGATGTCTCTCTTGACATTTGGGATACTTCAATCTCATTACAAGGTGTGCATTAACTCATCACCTATTTAGAGAGTTAAGAACCAGATGAGATGTTCAGTATTTTGACATCCTGACATCTTTTTTATCACACTTTTAGTCTTGTCATCTGTAAGCAGTTTTACCATCTCATTTGGGTGTTGTTTGGGGAAGCTTTTTAAAAATGTTGCATGTTTCTCACCTACAATAGGATAAACGCCATACAAATAATGGATACCAGCAGATATGAAGTCTTTGTCCCTTTACTAAGCTGGAAAGCAACATGTCCTCTGATTTAAGGGGTTTATTTTACCACTCTGATGCCATTGTGCTTGTCACCCTAAATTAGATCAACTAAAATATCAGGTATAAACTTTTAAATACCTCTTCAGATTCACTCCAAATATTTTACAAGTTACTGAATTAAATTCTTTTTAAGTTGTCACCTTATTATCTCAAGACTCCTTTAATATTTTGGAGGATGGCAAAATAAAGATGTATCAAACTCTTTTTCATTTAACATCCATGGAATTAATTTTTAATTGCTATTTAAAGCGGGATGATGAGCTAGAAGATGACATATACACCAAGGTTTAACCAGGATTGCCACACAGGTTACATTAACAAAGAAGCCACCCACACAACAAAAAGGTAGAGGTAAATCACATTGCTGAAGGACATAAATTGTACTTGCAATGGATTCACATGAAACACTGATGTGGGTTTTATTTGGCACACCATAGCCAGATGTTGGCTAGAAGCACCAGCAAACCTCAAAACAAAGGATTAAATGCTCACTAAGTGAGCAGTCACCTACACACAGGACCTGCTGGACTGGTGATCTAACCACAGAGAAATGGTACTTCGAGCCCACTAAGTGGGAGCAGGCAGAGGCATGAACAAAGGGGAAGATATGGTCCCGCTCCTGCTACTTACCATTCAGAGCAAGGCTGCGTGAGATAGCTGCAAGAACATGTAGTAACTGAAGGATGCATTAGGCCAGCAGTGTGTACCTGCATGCCCATGGCCAGGAGGAAGAGGGGGAGGCACTCTGCGTCACATGCCTCTGAGTCACTGTGCCTTCTGGGCCAGCACCCTGGGATGCAGTTTACAATCACCAGGACCTAACTTTTAGTCATCAAAGTCATAAAGAAGTGATGCCTGAGCAGATCCAAGGAAGGCACCTGAAGTCAGAATGCAATCAAAGAGGGGTTAAGGGTAAACAAAATCCAGATGGGGTTTGAATAACTACACTTCAACATAAACCAATGAAAATTTTATGCCAACCTTTTTTTCATTCTTCCCCTTTTAATCATTGTGTGGTGGATGTAGTGCTAAGCTGATATGCATATTAGAAAAAATGCTGGAAGTAGAAATATGTGGTAGATGAGCAAGTTTCAGCAGAGCCACATGGAGAAGCAACTTTTAGTCTAGCTACCTAGATTAATTTTATAAGCACTTGTATGCGCAGGTGATACGGATGCACTCATATACTTCATGCACAAAAACTAATTAACTGGTATGAGGGCAATATTAGGGAGAAGTCCACATGTCTTAACACTAGCAGACCAATGCAGCTATTAATTAAAATAATGCTCGTATTCTGTAACCATTCCTACATGATCTGCTGTTCCCTTTTCTCTGTGGCATCACTGAAGATAACGGGAACTTTGAGTCTGTACATTACAATTAGGAAGAAAAGTACGCCTGTGTAACTGAAGTATGGATTTTATTTTATGAACTAATGTCAGTAACCTCAAATGTCAAGTTCCTTGACCTCACTGCCTTATCTTGCAGATTTTATATACCTGATCTCATAGTGCATGCTTGTTTGCATGGTAGCTTTTCAAATTATTATATCAGTAAATTATCTGTAAGCTTAAAAATTCACCTTCTTTCACCTGAAATTGGTGGAGTTGCTCTGTCTGTGGACTGTGCAATCTTCACTGCATTAAGGTTATTAAGTGCTCAAGGTAACAGTTTTGAAGCTGATGAGGTAATTTTCTTGATGGTTCCTCCCTGAGGGGAAAAAATATGCTAGGGAAGGAATTTTCTGGTGCTCGTTTTTCTAAAATGGTCCCTTCAAGATACTTCCACTTGTTTCAAATTGGGGAAAAAAACTTGTTCATTTTGCAAAGGAATGGACCAGTGTAAAATGTTACAGTCCCACAGAAGAGTCAATGTAAAGACAGACAACTTCACTTCAGCTCTTATAAAGGTTTTTTGAACTTCCATCAGCCTTTTGCTGACATGCTTTTGAGGGTTCACAGACCTCTCTGCTCCATGAGAGATCAGTAGAAACAATAAAATCTAGGTAGTGGATCACAATAAAAAATTGGAAAGTTAGTTTTTTAATTATTCCTGAACGTGACCCTTGGGTGCTTACATACAGTAGCCTTGAAGCTTATTTACGCTTAAAAATTATTTGTCCTAACACAAAACACACACTAATTTTTCTTTGGAGTCAATTGAAATCTTAAATCATTACTCTGGGGTCAGGGTCCAGCAAATTGTTTCCAGTATGCAGGAGAAAACATGAAATTAACATTGAATATTCAAGAGAAAGCTAGTTTCACAGTAAGAGCATATGGTTAATATGGGTTTCCTTTTGGAAGTAAATATGGGTCAAGTCTTGGCTGATGCAGAAGGACAAGGAAGATGCTCTTAAGATGTTTGTAGTACTTCATCAGCACTGAAAGAAATTCTGTGGATTTGTAGGGCAGAAACAGTGAAGTTTACAAGTAGTACAGCATAATGGGAACTCATGACACTGAGATTGGCACGAATGAATGTAGAAGATAAACTGGACTTGACTGAGGCTTTATTTTCCCTCCTTTCAGGCAAGTATTGTTTCTTTGAAGTAACATTGGCAAAAGCAATTCAAAGCTCAGCTACAGTGTAGTGTACACAGCACTGGTAATTCTTTGCAGCAACTTTTGTTGTAATAAAAAAAAAAGTAGGACCTTTTACCTTGAAACAGTTCTTTTCATCTTCAAAGCATTTTCACAAATACATTCTAGCTAATCTAAACACCCCTTTAATGCAGTTAAGGTTGATTATCACCATGATTATGACTTTACAGGAGGGACAGAGTTTAAATTACTTAAATGTGTAAAAGTATTTGATGTCAGAAGAGGTATTAAAACTCAAGGGTCACTGAGTCCTAATTGTCTGCTCACACTAGATCTTCTCTCAACTTTGGTTTCCACTGTAAAGAATTATCTTCTTATAGACTGTTTTCTATATTTAACTAAATATTATATTACTTGTGTATTAAAGTGCTTCTTATAGTGCACTAATAAGAATGTTTCAGTTTATTTGACCAAGATTTCTAAGCTCTGTGAGGCATATGACCAAAACTATTAACATAGTTGCAGGAAACTTAAATTGTCAGGTCTTCCCAGACCTCTAAGGACAGGGTTTTCAGGCACTGACTACATGTGGATTTTCACCAAAATTTTCACAAAAAATGACATAAAAAATGACTTTAAGTTTGAAAGGCCTTCATCTGATATATAAACTACTTATTTTCATCCAAGGGTTCTTTTGTATTTTACGAATGGTGTAACGTGTAAATGAAACTTAGTTTTTACACATTATTTTAACTTAAGATAAGAAAACACTGTCTACGAGACACAGACAACTGAAATAGTGAGAAATCAAAGCAAACAGATTTCAAGTAATTGTGCATTTATTTTATTTCTGAAAAGGCAAAACGTCAGTAAACTACTGTTTTTTATTCAGATAACTGGATTTACATTCCATCACTTAGAACATGAAGTACAAAGTTCAGCCTCTAGGAAAATACAAAGCTATCACTTTATTTCAAGGTTTTCTATAATGTCATAAGTGGAACTGTGAACTGAAACTGCAATTTCTACAGGAACTCTCTAACCTGTGTCTTTTTAAGAGAGTACGTTCATCATGTTCTCCTGAGCATCGTGGTATTGTTGGGGTGGTGTTTGATTGCCTGCTTCCAAATCCAAATGGCTGCTGCAGAAAACTGACTTCTCACAACGATAAATGCTGTGTTAAAAAATTCTAGATTATATCTTACTGATGAACAGTCACTGTACTGGATTCCACCTCTCAATCCTAACATGGGATTTTAATTTTAAGATATTCAAAACTGAGAAATAAAAAAAACATACGGTCTATAGAAATGAAAATATTTAAAAATGTTAATTTCATAGAGCACCGTTTCTTACCTGTTATTGATTAGTTAAATCATTCAGAAGGCTTAAATACATGTATTCCTTAATCCAGGTTATAAAATGATATAAGTAATGGGAACTCACTAACTGTTGATAAACAGCTCACTTGAAGAAGTGCAAAATTTCATATTGATACAGGTTTTTCTTCTAGCAAACTGCTAAATTGAAACTCACACGGCATTAAATGTGAAAAGGTACCTAGTTTGTCTGCAAGACTGCAGTTTTTCAGCTCCTTTTCTGATTTTGAGTCTAGGCTATTCATCCATTGTCTGGACTGCACCAAAACAGCGGCTCAGATCAGTCATCCTCAGAAACTCCATCTAATGAAGCTCCTTTTGAGCTTCCATCTCAACCTTTCTTGAACTATTTCTATCATTAACAATTCAACATGAGTAGGCTTTTCTGCTTGCTGCTCACATGTAATGTGGATATATGGAAAGCTTTATGCAGAGAAATACTCCTACAAATACACACACAGTAACAGAGAATCCACAGGCGTGAAGTTGGAAAGCTGATTCCTGTCTGGTCAGCTACAGTATCAAGCTCCCATGAACGGCCTGTGTAGGGAACAGCCAGTATGTTTTAAACAGAAGTAAGAGCCAATTGTCTCTGAGAGTTTAAATAGTGAATACTTCCACACTGTTTAAGCAAAGTGAGCTCTCATATTCAAAAAGCAAATAGATTGCACATAGTTGTGGTAAAAGAGGAGTACTGCAACACAACTGACACAGCTTCTTGTAATCAATGGATGAACATTGTAGTAGAATTAAACAGAAGGAATTGCCAAGAATTATTCACTAAGAGATTCTGTACACTAAGAGTAGAACGTATAACTTCAATGCAATGAGAAAAATGCGGTAAGTTTCAGACTTAGTGTGGTATTATGGCTACACACTGAAGAAGAACTTATCTGTAACTTCACCTGACAAACTGTAATTTCGCACTGAAGAAGTTAACATTTAACCTGACCCACATCCTTCTTTCTCCCTTTATTAAACTACAATTTTCCAAAAGGATATTTCTCATCAGTACAGTCTACATTTCGAACTGCAGTAAGAAGGCTTCAGCCCTGGTGACAAATATCTCAGCAGTGCATGAAGATCTCCAACATACACTGAAGACAAGAGGATAAAGCGTTTAAAGCTGCACAGATAGCACATTCCAGCTGAAGCACAAGTTCAGCATTAGCTGCTACTGCCTCAGATTATCAGGAATATTCTTTTCCTCTTGGTATACAAAGAACTGCCTCAAGATCTTAGCAGCTAAAATCTAGGATGTATGTTCAGTGATGAGTCCGAGTCTTCATTTACCAGCAGATATGTGACATTTCTTTAACAGACAGGTAGCACTGAGGGCATGTGAGAATGGCATGTCTGGGTGCCTGAGGTGCCTCTAACAGATAATGTAGCTTTAAAGAAGCTACCTACTTCCTAAGAAGCTAAGTACTTTTACGTACTTCCAATTAACAAGGTAACAGCTATTTTTGAAAGCTCTACATCTGATATTCATACCTACCTATAGAAGCAAAATACATAAACATATTGATGTTTCTCAAAATGCAGGATCGTGTTATGGCAAAACAAATGTTCCGCTTAAATTAAGAAAAATACCACAGGTAGGAAAATTGTAATTATAATAAGATAGTTTTTACCTTATTCTATCACTTGAAGCTCTATTTAGCTTGGAGACCTAAACATATATACTTTTTATATATGTGTACTTCAGAAAGGATTTCCCCTTCCCCCCCAGACATGCTTCAGTCTGTTCTCAGAATCATTTTAGGGTATTGAAAAGATCACCACCCTCAATTCCACTTCTGTCGACAAATTGATGAACTTGGGGCGGGGAGTCAATTAAACTGCTGTGTCTCCAGAAACATGGGAGGGAGATCTGACCGGAATATGAACCGTCTGAAAGTTAAGTTTCCAGAGAGACCGAGCCAATGCTTATCATCTTGAGAACATACCTGCACCTTTAAGTAGACAAACCATTGCGATCACACCAACCGCACCACTGCTCCGGTCCTCAAGCAGCGGAGGCTCCCGGAGAGTCACAGGTAAACGCGCAGGCCAGAAGGATTAAGAAGAGAGCAGGACGTGTGCTCAGGTTGCGAATTCAAGAGGCATTTAAACACGGCAGCATTCTCACTTTCTGAACAACAAAAGTGCTCCCGAGGCCAGAGCTCTGTGGGGGAGCAGCGGGGACACTTCGCTCCCGCGGGCCGGGCCCTCAGCGCGGGCGGGTGCTGCCCCCCAGCGGCGGGAAGCGCGCCTTTCCCCCCCCACTCACGGCCGTGCCCCGCCGCCCGCGGCACCGCCCTCCCGCCAACATGGCCGCCGCCAGCGCCGCCGCCGCCCCGGGACCCGTGAAGGTAAGGGCGCCTCCGCTCTGCCGCGGGGCAGCGACCGCCGCCGCCCGCAATCCCTCCCCGCCTGTCACCTCCGCCCCCCACGCCCCGGGAGCGGGATGGCGCGGGCCCCGCCGCCGCCCTCCCGGCGCTGCCGAGCGCGTGGCCGGAAGCGCTGCCTCCCTCCCTTCCCCGCTCCCGGCCGCCCTTCCCGCCTTCGCGCCGGGAGCGGGCCCGGCAGCCCGGCGGTGCCGGGAGGGAGAGTGGCCGCGGTGGCGGGCGGCGCCCGGCCGGGGCCGTTCGGGGGCTCCCGCGGCCGTCTCGGCGGAGACGATCTTCTAAAATTATTTTTTTTTTTAATGAAATCCCGAGGCCTTTGCTGAAATTTCCGGGTATCCGACCCGAGGGCGGTGTGTCGGGTTTGTCAGTGAGAGGGACCGTGGCGGGTTCGTAACTGTGCAGTGTGTCCGTGAATGTGCGCGGGGTCCGAAGCTGCAGCGGGAGCGAGCGGTGCCAAAGTTCCCCGCTAAGACCTGTCCGTCCGCCGCGTGTGCTGGAAAAGCGGCTCAGAGCGGCGGTGGTACCAGCGCTGAGCTGGCCTGTGGGCACGCTGAAACCCCGGGACTGCGTTTTAATAAACTACAGATTCTTTTTCTGAGGTGAGGTAACTCGCCCGATCGTTTCGGTGTGTAGAGAACAGTTACAAGCTGTCTTCAGTTTGCAGGTTTATTCTCTTAATGCAGTTTGCTGTTCTTCTTTAAGCAAAAGTCTTTGTAGTGCCATCCTCTCCCTCCTCTCCATATCTCCAAAACAGAAGAGAGGAATATAGAGGGATTCGTTGGTCGTTAGTTGTCACAGAGACTCGTAGGTGATCATGACAATGTTTAGGACCCTCAGACGGACAAGTGTAGTCTGTTACTGCGCTGATACTTCCATGCTTGTGCTTAAACCTACTTGGGGAATTTCACCAAACACTAGGTGAAGAATGGCATATGCTTCAGTGTGATTGTTGCTTGGACTTCCACAGAGAAATGCTTTTGATTTTTTAGTTACTGGTGGGATAACTTTTTGTTAGGTTTCACTTTTGCTGCTCTTCATCCCAATGTTTGAGATGGGCAATGTTAAAATAATTCATGTTTCACTCTACTGCAATGCCATTTTACTTTAGATTTAATTCCAGATATCCTTAAATACAGCCTCCGTTAATTTTTACAAGTTATGTCCTTTGTATCCCTTTGTAGGATGCAATCAATGTCTGGAATGGAGCATACAATCTTTCCATTCTGGAGGTCACTCCTAGATGTGACTGTCTCTGGCTTTTGAGGAAAGGTGAGACGGTTCTCCCCGGGTGTTCTCGCTACCATTCCATACCTGCCGTGCCTGGGCTCGTAGGTGGGGATAGAACTCAGCTCCCTTGACAGGATGTCGTGGTTTAGGAATGATATTCTTCAATTTAGTGTTCCCGTTGAAAGCACTCCAAACCATGCCGCTGGTTCACTCGCCCCTCCTCCTCCCCTGTGATAGGATGGAGAGGAGAATTGGAGGCACAAAAGGTAATGATCACGGGTTGAGATAAGAACAATTTACTGGAAACAGCAGTAAGAAAACAAACATTAACAGCAACAATATTAGTAAGGAAAGTGTACCAGAGAGGTGAGAGATTCATATGCAAATGCTCACTACTGCACCTTCACACTACCCCGACCGGGAAGGGTCTTCCCCCTTCCCAGAAAATAATGTGAGGTGATATAGAATAACCTCTGTGTCCTGGCCATGCTCCCTCCTGACTACTGCAAAAATTAATCCTGTCCTGGCCTGAGCCAGGACACCAGGACACAGGGTGTCTCCCCCACTGAGCCTAGAGCATCTACATCCCTTTTAGTAATTCAGTAGAAGGTTTGGAAAGCAGAATTGAATATAGAATCAGATTGCCTAGCTCCCAGATGCAGATAATATTTTGGAGATTATATATACTGGAGGAAAGATAATTGTGAGAGAGATAAATTTAAATTTAGGGTTAGAGCTGCCAGCTCCAAGTTGAGATTACGTGGTTGAAGAAGCAGCTGCTTCAAAAATCTCTGCTGGCCTAACTCTCCTTCCACTGGAATAGCACTCCAGCAAATTATAAGTTATCCCAGCATTTCTCTAGCCAATGTTGCTTTGGTGGCCTGAGGGTTGACCAGACTGCCACTGAGGTGTTTTGCAGTGGGGAAGAAGGCAGAAGCAAAATCAACATAGTCCAGCTCTTCTTCTGTGCTCTGTGTTCTCCACCCTGGGAGCTGTGAATATTTTGCAAGCTCATTGCACTGCTGCCATTTCTGACAGCATGACCATTGGTGTTAAAGCCTTCTCAGGAACTCAACAGTGCAGCACAAGCATGTAATGATGAAGCTGCAGCAGCAGGAGTAGGGAGCCTGAGAGCCTATTTGAAAGCAACCACACCAGGCCTATGCTGCCCCAGGTCGGGTGTGCTGCTTTCTGGTACAGGGAGAGTCTGTTATAGTGATGGATGTGTGTTTTCATAAGGACCTTAAAGCATTGCAGTTCCAAAATAACTTCTGTATCATGTATCTGTAGCTGATATCTCCAGCATTGCACTGTTTTCCTCAGTCCCAACAACTTTCACTTTGCCGGATGTGAAAGTTCAGGAAGGTAAACATTCCCTTTTGAATATACTTAAGTCATAACAAGTGTTATAGGAAGCTAAAACTAGTTCGATTACTGAAGGGACCATTTTTTTCCCTAGATTTAAAAAACACCAAACAAACACAAAAACCCAACCAAACAAAAAAACCCCGACCATCAATCAAACAAACAAACAAAAAACAAAGGAAAAAAACAAGCACCGTTTTTTTAATGTCTTCTGTTAATGAGGCAGTATCACTTTTTACTGAATGCGTGCAAGAACAATGTTAAATATGGTCTTTTGCTCATTTTGTGTTGTACAATATCTCCTGTTGCACACCTTCCACAATTCTTAAAGCTGTATTTTATTAATCCTAAAGTGTATATAGTTTTCTAGATTTTCATGAGAAATCGAACAGTCTGAACTTTCGTGATAACTAAGCAACACGAGTAACGTGGGAATATTACTGCAAACATCAGTATTACTGCAGACAACGATCTAGGTCTTCCCTAATACTTGTGTGTGTTCAGGATTGGAGTCGTAGGTTTTCACTGCTATTTTCCTTTGCACTGCTCCTCCTGCTCCACAGGGGGGTAGCAAAAGGAAGTAGGAGATCGGTTAAAACTACCTCATCGTATCGGGGTTTACAGGATCTGGTGTGGAAAGCTTTCTTAGAGAAGTATTGGGTGTGTATTGAAGACCACAGAGCGTCTGCTTGTTGAAAAGAAATGCATGATAGCCAGCTAATACAGTGGTTGAACAAATGGGATCTCTATGAATGTGAAAGTAAGAAAAAGCTACAGAAAGAGGCAGTTCTCTGTGTGTGTTGTGGAAGCGGGGGTGTTGTATGTTGAAATCTGGAGGTTTTACTTGGGAAATCTTCAGTCTCTGTGGTAACAAGTTATGTCAGAACGGTTCAGATTTTTTTTTTGCCGTGATAAACAAATCAGTTATGAATTCTTCAATATGAAAGTGATACAAACTTTGCAACAACAAATGAAGGAAAAAAAAAAAAGAGCATTTTCTCGGTGGTGATAGTGACATCATTTTTAAATACCATTACTAAGCTTTCAGTTGTGCAAAGTTTGACAGTACCCATTCCATCCAAAGAGCTGCAAGTGTTCTGAACTTAAGAGAAAATCTGACTTGATTGAAAATTGAATTGTCTAAAGAGTGACAAAAACAAGTTACTTTCCAATTATGAACTAGAAACAAGAAAATTCAGATGCATTTTTCTTAAGCTGGAATGTGAAATCACAGGCAAATTTAGTCTCTATAAGAATATATGTTTCAATTTAGCCTTTTTTTTTTCTCCCTTTTTACGAAAGAACTAGATCAGATGAGTGAGAACAAGAAATTGGTGATTACTAAAGGATGTCAGATAGGTGGTAATTGTGAGTCACTTCATGCTTTTTCACTATAAATTGTATCTAGACACAATGGGGATTTTAGTTGGGGAACTTCTTAGATTTTGTCAAGTCAAAATATTTTGCAATAATGTTTTTGTTATTTTGGATGTACAATGCTATATAGTAATGCCTGTGTCCTGGAGTAGAGTTAATTTCTTCTCAGTAGCTGGTACAGTGCTGTGGTTTTGATCTAGAGTGAGAACAGTGTTCATTACACACTGATGTTTTAGTTTTTTGCTAAGTCATGTTTATCCTGAGTTAAGGAATTTTATTTTTTTTTTTCTCATGCTCTGCCAGTGAGGAGGTGCACAAAAGAAATTGGGAGAGAGCATAGGCAGGACAGGTGATCCAAACTGACCAAAGGGATATTCCATACAATAGAACATCATGCCCAGTATATAAACTCAGAGAGTTACCCAGAAGGGGATCCGATCTGTGCTCGGGAAGGGGGGTCTGGCATCAGAATGCTGAGCAATTGTGCTGTGCATTACTTGTTTTTCCCTTTTCGTTTTCATTATTATTATAATTTACCATTATTACTGTGTTTTATTTATTTTCAATTATTAAACTGTTCTTATCTCAACATAAAAGTTTTACTCTGATTCTCCTCCCCTTTCCACTGGGTTAAGGGGGGAGAGAGGAGGAGCTTGAGTGAGCAGCTGCTCAGTTTCCAGCTGGGGTTAAACCACGACAGCCTGCTATTCTGTATGGTGGTTATGCATAAGACTGTTTTTCTCCATGTAAACAAGAAGCCTTTGTTGTAATATGATTTCTACATGCATTTCGCACTCATCAGAGGCATTCCCAAATAACACTCTTCATTTTTATATTGGAAATAAATTTTG